AAAAAACTTTTAGGAAATGCATAAAAAAATATGCGTGTATTTTCGCTCCGCTGCCCTCGATCCTTGGACTGGGATGCTCCCCAAGGGACTTCCGTGCACCCTAAGACGGTGGGGCTGTCCACGCTTTGCTCCATGGCAGTGTTTCTCAACCTGAGCACCTTGAAGATGTCTGGACTTCAACTCCCAGAATTCCCCAGCCAGCCAATGCTGGCTGGGGAATTCTGGGAGTTGAAGTCCAGACATCTTCAAGTTGCTAAGGTTGAGAAACACTGCCATGGAGCAAAGCGTGGACAGCCCCACCGTCTTAGGGTGCACGGAAGTCCCTTGGGGAGCATCCCAGTCCAAGGATCAAGGGCAGCGGAGCGAAAATACACGCATATTTTTTTATGCATTTCCTAAAAGTTTTTTTTTAAATTTTATTTTTATATAAACAATCCATTAACCAGTGTGTCGTCTGGGTATAAATATTTTGTGGCCAACATTAAAATATACAGTCGTCTTCATAATTTAATCTCATTTTAGTTTAAGAATCGTGATGCCAAAGCATCCGCCACGCCCACCAGGCTCTTCGGGGGGGGGAGCAACTTCCGCCCATAAGATGGCGACAACCTCGGGGACGTAAGGGTGGGCGGGGCCAGCTCCGCGCATGCGCCATATTCTCCGTTTCTTCCCCGCCCCCTGCCTCAGGGCAAATCTCTCCCGATTCCCAATTCAAGCGGCGGGACCTTCGCTCCTCCCCGCGAAATATTTTTGTTCGCGTGAGGAAAGAGTGTCGAGTGGAAGGAATGGGGGAGGGAAGAAGAAGAGAGAGAGAGAGAGAGAATAAAAGGAGAGAGAAAAGTGCGCTTGCGCACTTCGCGCGCCCCGACCTTCCCCCCGCCCATCGGCGAGGACTTTGTGCGCATGACGGGAAAGGGAAAGCCGCTATTGGCGTAGTAATTTTTTTTTTCCTGGCTCTCCCCCTCACACACACACCCAGCGGACGGCCATTGGTCCTTCTCCGCGACGGCCCCGCCTTTTCCTCCCTGTCGCCGCCGGGACTTCCGCCGTTCTGGTTGTGTGTGTGTTTGTGTGTGTGTGAGAGAGAGAGTGAGTGAGGGGAGGGGGGAGTTTCCTTTGGCCGCCGCCGCCGCCGCTGCCCCGCTTTGTGCGCCTCAGCTCGCCCAGGGGCCACCGAAGGCGCGGTGAGTGAGAGAGAGAGAGCGCGCGCGACCGAGAGGGCGACGGCGGTCTCGGGCAGCGGCCGAAGAAGAGAGGGCGGGGCCGCGGCTGGCCGAGCGCTCCTCATGAACTGCGCCTCCCGCTTTAATGCGCGCTTCTCACGGAAAGGCCCCGGCGGCCCCCTTTCTCCACATAAACCCCACCACTCGAGTTCCTTTCTGGCCGCTGCTGCGAGGGCGGCCCCGGGTCCGTTGTCGCTGCCTTGGTGGCAGCACAAACCGAACCCTGCGAGACGACGGCACCGGGCAAGGCCGCTTCCCCGCCTCGAGTCGGGCCCTGGGCGCGTAGTCGAGGAAAGTCGCCGAGGCGCACGAAGCTTCTTTTTCCTTTTAGGCGGGAATTGGGCCTCCCCGGGGAAAAAGCCGAGGAAAAAGAGACCCGTTTGTGGTGGGGGAGGAGAGGGGGCGGCTTGGCCTCCCCCCCCCCATAGGAAGTAATTGCAGCCCCCCCCCCCCCCGCAAGGCCCTCTGTCAGAATCGCCCCAGGCAGGACGCTATCCGTGGCAGCCCCGTTAAGCCTTTTTTTTTTTGCCCTTGAGCAAAACCCCGCAGTGGGGCCTGGATTCCTGGCTGTAGATAATGCCCCTTTGTGTTGGTGTTTGGAGGTGGGGGACAATGGGACTTGACCATCCCAACTTTCCCCCTCTTTTATGGGCTGCTGCACAGTCACTGCCCTTCACAACCTTTTAGAAAAAGGTTTGGTTTTTTTGCAACCTTTTTGCAACCTTTGCAAAAAAAACAAAAACAAACCCACCACCCCATTTCCTCCCACAGGCTTAGGTGTGAAAGACCCCCTCTCCCCCAGTTTTCCCAGACAGGAGTGAATTATAAATCTTAAGATTTATATTTTATTCTTTCGTTTCACCTTCCTTCCAGAAACTTGCAACTTCACGGTTTTATACAATCAACTTACCCGCGTTTCCCCAAAAATAAGACAGGGTCTTATATAAGCACTTTTCTTATAGTGTTTATTTTAAGGGGGAGGTTTAAATGAAAATAAGATGGTCTTATATAAGGGCTTTTCTTATAGTGCTAATTTTAGGGGAGTTTAAATGAAAATAAGACAGGGTCTTATATAAGCACTTGTGTTTATTTTAGGGGGAGGTTAAATAAAAATAAGATGGTCTTATTTAAGCACTTTTCTTACAGTGCTTATTTCAGGGGGGATCAAATGAAAATAAGACAGGGTCTGAAATAAGCACTTGGATTTATTTTAGGGGGAGGTTAAATAAAAATAAGATGGTCTTATTTAAGCACTTTTCTTACAGTGCTTATTTCAGGGGGGATCAAATGAAAATAAGACAGGGTCTGAAATAAGCACTTGGATTTATTTTCGGGGAGGTCTTATTATTTTTCATGTGCAGAAGGCGGTGAGCGTGGTAACCTCATGGCTGCTGCTGCCTTGCAATATTTTCAGGGGAGGGCTTTTAGCGCATGCACTCAAAAGCCCAGTTGGGCTTATTATCCGGGGAGGTCTTATTTTCGGGGAAACAGGGTACCCAGCAGATGCCGCAAGAGAGGATTCAAATGTGCCTCATTATCTTTTAGCTTAGAATCCCTCCCCACCCAGCTGACAGCTGCAAATGATGTGATCCTGGGATCCTTTGGAGGAAAGGATATGCTATTGTGTGATTTATTTTATTTTATTTTGCTATGGGATTGGGGAAATGTTACTTTGTATTTGTTGACAACGGGGCAAAGTATGGGGATGGGCTTCTTGTTTTCTTTCCAGGTCTAAATATTCTTGTCTGTGTTATGCAGAAGGTGGTGGTGGGTGGGTGAGTGGGAGGGGGGGGTTCTTGGCTTCCAAGGCAAGCTGTCAAAAAATAATAACCCTTTGCAACTTGGCTTTGTGCTGTGGCACTAAAATTACATTGCTCAGTTCAGTGTGCCTTGTGCTGATGCTTCAGGATTTTTGGAAGGGCAGAAATGTTTGACTTTTTGAAGCAGGGAACACGGTCTAGCACCCGCAAAAAATGTTAAGTGATAAGAATACTGTCAGTGTTAGAAACAAAACTGTTGTAAAGAGAAATTGGATATAAATTTTAAGATTAGGTTATGCTTTTTAAGGGACACGGTGGCTCAGTGGCAAAGACGCTGACCTTGTTGATCAGAAAGGCCGCGTAACGGAGTGAGCTCCCATTACTTGTCCCAGCTTCTGCCAACCTAGCAATTGGAAAGCATGTAAAAATGCAAGTAGAAAAATAGGAACCATCTTTGGTGGGAAAGGAACTGCGTTCTGGGCGCCTTTGGCATTTAGTCATGCCAGCCACATGACCACGGAGGCGTCTTCGGACACCACTGGTGCTTCGGCTTTGAAACGGAGATGGGCACTGCCCCCTAGAGTCGGGAACGACTAGTACACATGTGCAAGGGAAACCTTTACCTTTACCTATGCTTTTTCCTCAGGGTAAATGGGCTTGAAAAAGGAGCCCAAAGAGATGATTATGTTTATTCCAGTCTGTTTTTTTTCCCAATCCTGGAAACATCATTTATTAATTTTTAAAAACTCATCCTATTCACATCATTTCTTCCACTTATAAGGGGGATGGGAAGAGGCCCACAGGATTCTTATTAGAATTGTAATCCTTAAAATCATTTTGTATTGTTCTTTCATCTCTGTTAGAATGGGAGGGAAGTATTGCTTTGCTTGTAGCCAGAAAAAATCAGTGGTCTTTTTTTTCTTGGATTCCTGAGTGTCATATTTCACCTGAGTCCTTTTACTCTGCCATCTTATTCTTCCCCTCTGCTGTTAATTAAAGGACCTCTTTGGAGTCTGAATTTAGGTGGCAAGAGAAGATGGTGACAGCCAATGGGGCCCTTTGGGGTCGTTTACAGAATTTGCAGGGCGCCCTGGGTTTGGTTGGAATATAACAACATCTGTTTTTTTGGCTGCTTCTGCTTTGCTCCCGTTTGAGCTTTGGGTGAGGGTTGGCCTATGTCCCTCTGGCATACGAGTGCCCCATGGTTGGAACTTGCCTGAGACTGGCTGCTTCCTCCCCGCTGGTCCCCCCTCTGTAGGGAGGGGCACCTGTTCTTGGTGTGTGCCCCCCTTCCCTTGCTTGTGTTGTGTCCTGCATCGTATGTCCTATGGGGCGAGTTTTCGGAGGTGATTTCAGCTTAGCTGCCTTAAGTTTAAAGTAACAGGCAAAAAAGGGACCTGCTTCTTCTCTGTGACTGCTGCTGCTGCTGTTGTTGTTGTTGTTTTAATTTTGTTGTAACTCTGCCAGGTGAAAGGGAGCTAAATTTGCTTTAAGATATTTTTTGTTTTGTTTTGTTTCCTTGTCCTTGATAACCACCTTCATACCAAATCTTTTTTTTTTGCACTTCTGTTAGGAAAGTCCTCCTTCCCCTTGAGGTTAAGCCCTGGGCCTCCAAAAGTGTGTTACCCTCACGTTGAGGCTAAGACATTAATTTAAATGGCGACTGAGCTGTCTGAAGCCGATCCCGCACACCGTAAGGCAGTTCCACTCTTAACAGGAGCTCCCCTGGACAAGTTGAGTGAGGTAGGGGCTGACCCCGCTCCACGCTTGCCCCCTGGATTGGCCCCTGCAAGGGCCCTTGCGCTCTTTCTTCCCTCTTGCTTCTAGGAATCTCAGCTGGGCTCCATCCGCCCTTCCTTACCAGGTGTTGATCCCTTTCTTTCCTGCTTCCCCGGTGCTTCCCTCCTCTCCTCTCCCCCCACCCCTCTCCCTCCCCATGTCGTTCTGAGCTGGAGCAAAAACTCTTGTGAGGTGGAAGCAGGAAACTGGACCCCCCAACCTGCTGACGATCCCGAGCACAGTCACCTCGCAGGAGAGGAGGTGGCAGTGGAGTGCTTCTCAGCCTGCCAGGGGAGGGTCCTCCTTTTCCGGGCTTCTCGTGACACTTTGCTCCCTTCCCAGACAGTCGAAGATAGAGCCATGCCGATCCGCCGAGCGGTGAATGCTTCTTCTCGGGAAACGCCTCCCAAAAGCAAGCCTGCTGAAGCCGAGGAAACGAAGCCAGGTAAAGAGGGGTATTTCTTTCCCCCCTCCCCATTCTCACCTTGACCGCTGCAGGTGGGGTGGCTGGTCTTACTGGGTATATGTAGAGCAGTGGTGGGTTGCAGGCAGTACGCCCCAGTACGCCTCAGCATCTCTTAGTGAAAGCGCTTTTTCACTTCAAATGGGGTCGAGAGTTTTACTTCCCTAAGAGGCAGGTCTGACACAAAATATGGTTGCATTCAGCCCCCACTCCTTCCTCCCAGCTCTAAACTTATTTTCTATGACATGTCTTTGCCCTTTAGAGCCTTGTTTGACAGGAGGCCTGGTAGTTAACTTGCCAGTACTGTATTGAGCTGGGGAGGTGTGGGGGGCACTCTGGGTTTAACAGTGAGAGTTGCAGCTGTAGGACAGAGCAAGAGGGAGGAATGCAGCTCTCCAGCAAGAGGGGGTGGTGGTCTCTCATCCCCCACCTAACTTTGTTCATTTGAATTGCCAAGGTCAGATCTTGCAGGATCTCTGCAAGAATCTCTGCTATGCCTGGCCTTGCTGGAAAGCCCAAGGGCCCATCTTCAGCAGGGAGTTTCTCGCCTTTTACCAACTGCTTGCCCTCTTTCCCTTCCGCCCTTCAGAACCGGATGTCAGCTCGGAAGAATCCGCCTCCACCGTGGAGGAACAAGAGAATCAGGTGCCCCCGGCTGCCCCTGCTGAGACAGAGCAGCCAAAGGAGGCCGAGGAGGAGAAGGCAGATGTGAAGCCTGCTGAGGAAGCCAAGAAGGAGTAAGAAGCCGGGGGGGGGAGGGGGGAGAGCAGGAAGGCCCTAGTAGGAGGGAAGAGGGAGGTGGGCTGCAGAGGCCAAGAGAGCGATGGCAGGGGTGAAATGTTCTAAAGTCTCCTAATTCGCTTCAAGTAGGTAGAACAGGGAGGGGTGTGAACAGCTGTGTTGTGCGATTTAGATTCGCTAGAAAGCAATATTTCCTGCTTTTTAGCGAATATAAATCGCACCGCACAGCTAATTGTCGCACAGCTGATGGAACAGTTGGAACTTTTCTTAGCATTTTTTTACTACCGGTTCGGGCGAACCGGTAGTTCCGACGATCAGCTGTGCAACAATCGGCTGTGCCACGCGATTTATACTAGCTAGAAATCACTCGGCAGTTGATTGTCACACAGCTGATCGTTGGAACTACCGGTTCGCCTGAACCGGTAGCATTTCACCCCTGGGCAATGGCCCTTGCTAGAAAGGACCCAGTTGTCCACCATGTGCTTCCTGCCCCCACAATACAATCCATGCCCCTGTGATCCAACTGCCTGGCATGGGAGCTCAGGGGTTCACAGCCCCCTTGGCCACAGGTTGCTGCCTCAGTCCACTGGGTGGCGCCTCATTTCTTCCTGTTGGCATAGGGGACTGACCCACACTTGGGGCAGTGGCAGAGATTTGTCTACTGGCCGAGCAGCAAACTGGGACTGTCAGGTCCACCATCTTCAGCTTGGCGCCTCGCTGGCACCCTGCCATCAAAGGACCAGGGTGGATAGGGGGGTAGGGATGGAGCGGGGACAAATGAACAATAAACCTGTATGCATCTATGTGGGAATCCGGTGTGTGGAAAGTTTCGAGCCCAAATACCCCAGCGTTCCCAAAACATCTTGGTGGTGTCGCATTGTCTGGGATTGGACTGGTCATGGGGAAAGGGGTGGGAATTTGTGCTGAGGCGTGGGAAACTCAGATTCCACCTGACTTTACTGCAACTAACATCTCTTAGTAAAAGCACCTTTCACTTCAACCAAATGGGAATCGAGAGTTTTTCTTCCCTAAGGGATCAGACTGGGACAGATCTGACAGTGGGAACCTTCCAGCATGGGTTTGCTAGCCTAGTTGTGGCCCTTGGATGGGAGAGGTGGGGTTGTACCATGGGAATGGGTTTTTGAGAAAGCCCACCAAGCCACTCACCTCTTTTCTAATCCGTAAAGGGAGAAGGATCCAGAGAAAGAGAAGGAGAAAGAGAAGAAAGTGAAGAAGACCATTCCCGCCTGGGCCACACTTTCAGCCAGCCAGTTAGCCAGAGCGCAGAAACAGACGCAGATGGCAGCTTCCTCTCGTCCCAAGATGGATGCCATTTTGATCGAAGCAATCAAAGTGAGGGATGGGAGCATTGGCAGTGGGGTGGGAGCGCGGAAAGTCCTCTCAACGGTTTGGCTGCCCAGATAGATGCCAGGGAGGGAGCTGCCCACACACCCTTCTCACCCTCCCAGGCGTGCTATCAGAAAGGCGGGGCATCAGTGGTCGCCATCCGAAAGTTCATCATCAGCAGATACCCTTCGCTGGACCTGGAGCGGAGGGGGTACCTCTTGAAGCAGGCCCTGAAGAGGGAGCTGGAGCGGGGTGTCATCCGGCAGGTAAGGACTCTTGGCGCTACAGACTGGCCTGCCCTTGAAGGTCACTGCCTTTTATAGCTGAGGGAGGGGCACGCAGTATGGAAAATCCATCCGGTTGTTTGGGACAGGACTGTGCCTTTCCCTCCCTCTTTCCTAAGAGCAGCTCGTGCTTGGCTTGTCCTGGAGTGAGCAACACACACACACACACAGCCAAGTCGGATAAACGTCTGCATAAACTGGGATTTTGAAACACTGATCGAATATTTTTAATACTTGGCGTTATTTGTAAAACCCACCCATTTGGAATATTGAAGCTAGGATGGATTGATGAGTAATTCTTAAAAATATTAAATGATAGTACTTAGGGGGGGACAATAAATATAGGGCAAAAAGAAATGTTTTTTATATTTAAATGAATTATTGGGGAAATGATAAAGGATTATGGAAAGAGATAAATACCGTTGAAGTTGGAAGATTAGAACTATACATATTTATCTGTATTATTACTATTAATGTTGTTTAAAAAAGATTTGATCCAGTCAATGTACTGTCCACAAAATGTCCATGTTTATACTGGAAAAAGTAAAAACAAATTAGATTAGATTAGATTCTTAGATTGCTTTTATTTATAGGCCGCCCTTTTCCCTGAGGGGACTCAGGGCGGCTTACAACCTATAGGGAGGGGATACACATAATGACATATACAGACAATACATAATTAAAAAATAGAAGCAACATTCATTCATCACTCGGGTGGGGACGGATCCTAATCTTTAAATTACAAAAAAAACCACTCCATTTCTATCCCGTTCTTCCCCCTACTCCATCAACTTGGGGGGAGGGGATGTTAGATGTCCTTTGAATTTGCAGGAGGTTTTGTTTCCAGCCCCCCAAGCTTGCCCCATTTTCTCTGGGACAGGTGAAAGGGAAAGGAGCGTCTGGAAGCTTTGTGGTGGCCCCCAACTCAGGGAAAACAGGCTCCAAGGCCAAAGACCGGAAGGTAAGTCCGGCGGAGTTGGCCGTGCCCCAGAGCCCTCCAGAAGAGGGGCTGGCAGCCTTAAACCCTCAAAGGTCCTCAACTGATGCTGCCCATTCAGTTCTTGAGCCGATCAGAAGTCCAGTTCTCCCACCATGGAGTCTCCTCCTAGCACAGCAACCTTTTTCCTCCACCTGTCCTAAAGCCCTCTCAATTGTGGGGCCGACCGGCGACAGGGAGCCGCAGCAGAGGGATGAAAGAGCCACATGCGGCTCCAGAGCCGCAGGTGCCTGACCCGTGCTCCAGAGTCTGAGCCAGCAGGAGAGTTCTGCTGCCCTCAGGGAGGGGTGGAGTGGGGGTGGGGTCTTCTTCCAAGGAACGTCCATAGATGTTCCACAGGCGCAGCCCCTCACCTGGAGGGTGGAGGGAGGGGCACAGCGGCCACTGCCACGTCTGGCCCAATAGAAGACCAAAGGGGCCTTAAGCTCCATCTTGGCTTGCCAGCCTCCTAGGGTGGAGCCCTCATATCCCTTCCGTCTCGCTTTCCTTTCAGCGGAGCTTGTCGGCCTCCAGCGCAGAGCAGCACGTGAAGCTGGAGGACATTCTCCCGCTGGCCTTCACCCGCCTCTGCGAGCCCAAGGAGGCCTCCTACAGCCTGATCAAAAAATATGTCTCCCAATATTACCCCAAGCTGAAGGTGGACATCCGGTAAGGTGCCCAGAAATGTGCATGACTGTAGCAGCTAAGGGTGGTGGTGACTCTGAGCCCCTGTGTGTGTGGGGGGGTGTGGGGGACACCTGCCCTGCCCCTTTTGCAGGACCAGCCAGCCAAGCGGCCTCTCTCTGGCTTCCCCTTTAGGCCCCAGCTGCTGAAGAACGCCCTGCAGCGGGCGGTGGAGAAGGGCCAGCTGGAGCAGATCACGGGCAAGGGGGCTTCCGGCACTTTCCAGGTGGGTAAGGGAGGGCTTGCCTGGGAATTGGAGCTAGCATGGATGAGGGTGGGGAACTCTTCTCCTTCCCTCCCACCTCCTCTTGGCCAAGTCGCCCATTCCTCCTCCTTGTGTGCACCAGCTGAAGAAGTCGGGGGAGAAGCCGTTGCTGGGCGGAAGCCTGATGGAGGACGCCATCCTTTCCGCCATCGCAGCCATGAACGAGCCCAAGACCTGCTCCACCACCGCTCTCAAGAAATACGTCCTGGAGAAGCACCCTGGCACAAACTCCAGCTTCCAGGGTAGGACCAGTGCAGCGCTACGGGGAAAGGCGCTCGGATTCTGCTCCCCAGGTGGCTGGTGCAGCTCCTCCCCTCCCAATACCCTCCCAGGGGGACTGTCCCCCCACTCCGACTCGGGCTTCCCCATTATGAGTGCCCGCCTTGCATTTGGAGCCTTGGATTTGGAAACTCGGCACGGGGCCCTCTGGAGTGGGCTTCCTGACATTCCCACAGCCCCCCAATACCGTTTTCTGTGCCCCCTGCAGTCCACCTCTTGAAGAGGACTCTGCAGAAGTGCGAGAAGTATGGCTGGATGGAGCAGATCTCCGGCAAGGGCTTCAGTGGCACCTTCCAGCTGTGTTTCCCCTACTACCCAAGGTGAGTCTGGGGCAGTCGGGGCCTGGCACTGGCAGATCCCTCTCTCCCTACTGTCTGGCTGGGGGGTGACCTCCGGCCTGCTTATTCCTTCCCTGCTTGGCTGCTTGTGTTCTGACCGAGGCTTCCCGAGAGCCTGAAGCAAACTCTTGGTCCCAACAAAAACCCCTTTTATTAATTGACTATGAATTCTGCACATTCCCACCCAGCAGTCTTTCGAGGGAGGATTTACAGTCACAGACCTCATCTGGCTTGGAGAGCTGCCAGGCCGATAGCTTCAGAACTTGGCCAGAAATCTTGGAGAGTCAGGAACCAATTAAGCGAACTAATGGTCTCCTGCAAACTCCACTCCCCTTTCGCTCCTCTTTTATTTCCTCTGGGAGAGGACATTCATCGTCCACCTGTGGCCTTCCTCCCAAGTCGACCCCTGTTCTTTAGCTTTTCCCTTCCTCTGGCAACTCTGTGCATGTGCACACTGGGAACAGGCTCCAGCTGTTCGTCTGCCTCACTGATGTCTGACTCCGAAGGGAGCTGATAACCGTCTGATGGCCCTGGTTCCCTCTCTGCTCCAATACTGAGCCCTCATCAGAGCCTTCCCCAGACTCCAGGACTGGCCCATGTTC